AACCGCTCTCAGTTGCATATTGATAGTTACATTCTTTGCTATAGTGACTGGTGATTCCAGGTCTTTAATGAGAATGAGAAGTGAGTGAAATAGTTACAAATAGTTACAAAGCAGTATCTATGAGGATCCAAACCTATGTCTGAGGTTAAAACCTTTGTTAGATGATAAGAAGGACTGTCTAAAAAGTGGAATAGAACTTCATAATTCTAGGTATCACACAATAGTTTGTTGGCATTCCCTGAAATCCCTCAGTTCCGAGCGTCAAACTTTGATCTCAGCATTACCCAGTTTACGCCTCCTCTTCCCCAAAGAATAGAATAATTAATAAACTGAAAAGTGTACTCTGATAGTTACTTGAACCACTTTGAGATCCACCCTTTATGAGTTTGCACAGTCTTATTTGATACTCACAGACCCTGTATTATACATGCTCTGAACCTCTTGTAGAAAACTTATTTAAGCTCCTTGAAAAGAAAAAGGAGAATCAAAACATTGGTGATGCAGATGATGATACAGTCACTAGATTAGTATACCAGTGTATGTCTGGAAAGAGAAATATCAAATAAAAGTCCACCTTGATGTGCCCTTGGATTGCAAAAAGCCTTTCTAATGCAGCCTGTGTCATGATTTATATCAATGACTCATAACATGGCGTTATATTTAATGTGATGTAACACTGATGCAAGATGTCATTCATGGAATTTCAATGTCACAGAGAAAGCTAAAGCAATTTGAACCTGTCCTTGCCTTCCAATCAGAATGAAAATGATTAAGGCAGATCACCAAAATGTCTAGGCCCTTTCATACCCACTTTGATCTTCTTGCAGTCCACTGCTGGAATAGCAGTTTTGTTTCCTGAAGAAAAGCAGCCGCCAACTAGTAAATACTATCTACAGTAGGTCTGAATACCTCCGTACATAAGAAGACAAAATTACTGATTGATGACCCAATTCTGTACACACAAAATCACTGTGTTTAACAGAAGTTTTGAGAGCAAATCAGTGACAGGATCATGCTGATAAATCAAAAGGTCTATATAATCTCTATTTCTAACACAGCCATTACGAATTTTCCTAACATTCTTCCTTTGCTATTTGCTTCACATGGAAGTGAATCAGCATTTCAGGAAATACTAATTCAGAGAAGACAATAAGCCTTCATTTCTCAGATTTTGAAGAGAACTACAGGAACCCTCTTAGCAAAAGGAGAAAGGTGCAATAATTTAGGCAATGCTCCAAAAATGGATGGAAGCCAGTACACACAAAAGTCCTTCCAAATCTCTCTGATTGTTGTTCTCTGCAGCTTTGGTTAAGGAAGAATTCCTGGGAAATCTGCACTGTGCTTCAGGAGCAGCTGGGAGAACTTCTACTATGATAGGGCAGAAAGAAACAGAGATACAAATACTTCCTTTAGCCACATGGATAACAGTTTATCCCTTCATATTAGAAGACTACCATGTTAGCAGATAACTGGTTCTCTGGAGCAGATAGCTACTGCTAGTGCTGAGTCTATAGCCTACCAGAGACAAAGATGTTTTATACAAAAAGATTCTAGAAGGCACAGGTGCAACTAGACATTTATACATCCTGGGTGCCAATGGTGCATGGCGGTGGCAGCTGCAGCCAGGCTACTGGCAGTAGCAGTTAGGCCAGAAAGGCAGGGGCTACTTTCTGTGCCACCACCCTCCAAGTCAGTGCCTCAGGATGGTACCCCAGTCATCTCACCCCTCTCTCAGTTTGAAGCCATCTCCTTGGTTACTCTAGAAGGGGGGTTGTGTGCTGGAAGGGGGGTTGTGTCATATTTGCCATAGCCTGAATATTACTGGGGGTTGGCATCAAAGTTCAATAGCTATGTGTAACAGGGGGCCTTCTCAGGGCCGATCTACCAATGCCCCGCCCACCTGTTCTGGGCCAACCACCTGCCTTCTCGCCTGCCATGCCTTGATGATAATTAATTAGTATGTTAATTAGGCAGGAGGCTGCCCATTTCTTGCCCTGATCCCAGGGGGCGCTATCTGTGGCTCTGTTCCTCCCCTACACTGCAGCCCAAGCCTTGCAGATGGCATCCATTAGTTGTTAACATCACCGGCCCCACTCTGGATCCCAGAATCCTCCAATCAGGACCCCTCTAAGATCCCTCCATTCAGGCGGCCTACTCTGCCCTCATTTGGGACTGCCTAGCTCCTTGATCTGTTCTCCCTTACAAGCATGTTCCGCCCCCGGGACCTTTGGCTGCATTGGCCCTGGCCTCATCTCCAGGCCAGTCGGAACCCCAGGCCCTCATCTCTGGGCAACCCTCTCACTGGGCCCCTGGCCCTTTGACCCTTCCGGTCCTGGCCCCAGCATTGACCAGTCGAGGGATTTCGAGTCAGGCTTATGGGTCTATAGCCCTCTCTCTCTCTTGAGTCTGCCTTCCTAACCCTTCTTTTGGATAATCCATCCAGTTGTGCAAGCTAGGGTTATTAAGGTGCCCCAACCCACCTTTCACCAGGGTGGTAACCAGGCTGGCATTTCCTGGGGACTCCCGCACCACTGAGAGCCCCAACAGATCACCCACACCCAGCATGGTGCAGTTTTAGGTCATGCCCAGGACCAGGAGCCTCCAAACTATCCCCTACAGCTCCTGCCCTTGCCTCCAAGATGATACATGAAGCCTTGCAGCACCACCTCCCTTGGAAGCCCATTCCAGATTCTGGTAACCCTTACCGTGAAGACATTCATCCTGATGTCTAACCTAAATCTGTTCTCTGTCAGTTTGCGGCCATTATTTCTAGTTACTCCAAGGGGTGCCCTGGTCAACAGAGCATCTCCTATATCCCTTGCTGTCATGTCCCCCCCACCCCCCCAAATGACAGCCACAAGATCATCTCTCAGTCTTCTCTTGTGGAGGCTGAAAAGATTCAGGTCCCTCAATCTCTCCTCGTAGGGCCTTACCTGCAGGCCCCTAAGCATACAAGTGGCCCTCCTCTGGACCCTCTCAAGGTTATCCACATCCCTCCTGAAGTACAGCATCCAAAACTAGATGCGGTACTCCAGCTGCTGCCTCATCAGTGGGGGTGAGAGGAAGTATCACCTCCCTGGACCTGTTTGTGATGCACCTGCTAATGCATGATAAAGTGTGGTTCGCTTTACTGATTACTTCATCACGTTGATGACTCATGTTCATCTTGGAATCAACTATGACTCTGTGATCCCTTTCTGCTACAGTGCTGCTGAGAAGCTCATCCCCCAGCCTGTAAGTGTGCTGGTGATTCCTTCTCCCTAAGTGCAGAACTTTGCATTTCTCCGTGTTGAATTGCATCCTATTCTGTTCTGCCCACTTCTCGAACCTGTCCAGATCCACCTAGATTTGTTCCCTGCCCACTAGTGTGCTTACTTTACCCCATAACTTGGTGTCATCCGTGAATTTGGACAGAGTGCTTTCCATGCCCTCATCCAAGTCACTGATGAAGACATTGAACAGTACTGGTCTAAGGACCAAAACTTGGGGAACTCCACTGCCCACATCTTTCCAGGTCAATGCCAACCCACCCACCATCACTCTCTGGGTGCATCCCATTAGCCAATTTGCCACCTACCTGACCGTGTAATTATCTACATCACAGCCGCTCAGTTTATTTATGAGACTAGGATGAGATACCATATTGAAGACTTTCTTAAAATACAGGTAGATGACATTTACCTCATCCCCTGCATCTAAGCATTTTGTGATCTGGTCATAAAAAGAAACAAGGTTAGTCAGGCAGGATCTACCTGCTATGAACCCATGCTGGTTGCCCTTCTGCATTATTTTTCCTGATGAACAACCACAAATGTGATTCTTAATAATTTTTTCAAAGGTTTTCCCAAGGATAGAGGTGAGGCTAACTGGCCTATAGTTACCTGGATCCTCCTTCCTCCCCTTCTTGAAAACAGGGACCACATTGGCCCTTTTCCAATCCTCTGGGACCTGACCTGAGCACCATGAGTGTTCAAACAACTGTGCCAGTGGTTCTGCTATGATACTGGCCAGTTCCTTCAGTACCTTTGGATGAAGATCATCCAGGCCTGTTGACTTAAACACATCCAGTCCGTTCAAGTGTCACTTCACTAAGTTGGCACTAACAGTTGGTGGGCTGGTTTTCCTCCTGTGCTTGTATATAATCCAACTGGGAGATTTGTCCTGATCCGTGTTCAGGAATACGGAAGCAAAAAACTCATTGAAGAGCTCAGCTTTGTCCCTCCTATCTGGCACCAATTGCCCTAGTCTGCCCTGTAGGGGTCTTATGTTACCCTGTGCCTTCTTTTTGCTCCCCATATACCTGTAGAAGGACTTTTTGATATCTTTAATTTTCGTTGTCAGCCTAAGATCCATTGCAGCTTTGGCCTTTCTAACTGACTCCCTGCAAGTGTAAGCCAAATAGGTATATTCTGCCTTGGTAGCTTCCAGAGCCTGTATGTCTCTTCTTTTGCCCCTAGGCTTTCTTGGATTTCCCTGTTCAGACAAGAGGGTGTCTTGGCCCCTTTCCCCCCTTTCCTGCACAATGGGATTGTCTCCTGTGCCCGAAGGATAGTTCCCTTTAGGAATAGCTACCCTTCCTGGACTTCTATCTCACCAATGCACCTGATCATCAGTGCCTCGCTAACTAATCTCCTGAGCATATTGAAGTTGGCCTTTCTGAAGTATGGCACTTCTGCCCTACTGGTTATCTTTCCCACCCTTTGCCAGATAGTAAATCAAATCAATTGATGGTCACTATCCCCTAGGTTACCTTGTATCTGCAGATACTTGATAGGTTCAGGGGGGGCTAGTTACTATCAGCAGTGCATTCTTCTAGAAGTTTTCCAGCATTGGAAATAGCTGAGACAAACAGTCTAGAAATGCATGGCTCTGATATTCCTAGCCTGCTGTGGAATGGGAGGGTTGTAATGTTTGTAGCTATGATGGTCCAGGGCAGGGCTGTCCAAATTCTAAGGGCCCAGGGGCTGCATGCTACGTAAGCTGCACCAACAGGGCTGCATTAGTGTGAGCTATGGGCCCCCAGGCTGCATCCTCCCTGCACTACATATGGGAAGGCCCTAAACCACTGCACCATGCGGCTGGCTCCCCTGGTGCCATGGGCTGTGCCACCCTACTCCCTGGGGTGAAAGAAGAAAGCAAAGGTTGACATTGGGGGAAGATTAGAGACCCCAGCTGCTGCAGCCAGAGAGATAGGGGGTGTGAAGGCTGGGTAGAAGCCCAGGGGCTGCACACTAACCCCATGTGAGCTGCACGTGGCCCCTGGGCCACCAACTGGGCAGCCCTGGTCCAGGGAATATAAATGTTCTTATCAAACAAATCCTACCTCATAAAATGCCAGTTTAATTCCAATCTTTAAAATCAACAGACTCCCCCACCTTTATTGCAAGGATACAATGTGCACTTGAAGTGAGATGCAACTGGAGATGGAAAGGGGAGCATCGTGTATGAACTTTCATGGTAAATAGGATGGGGACAAGTGCACAGTGTATGTTTCATAAAGTAGAAATTGTTTGAGGGAATCTTGTGCCTTCTACTGGCAGCATTATCTGAAGGAGAGTTTTTGGAACACCAACGTCCAGAACTTTGAACAGAGGGTGATAGCACAATTGTTCACAGAGTATCAAGCCTCAAGAGCTTGACTAAAGGCTGGGAAGCCAGATTTTCAGAAGGTGGTTAGGTGCCCTAGATGCAGATAGAAGCCTGCCAGGCCATTCATATTAGCTACCCTTTCCCAAATGTTTAAAGTACTGTAGTCTCTGAGGGGGCATCTGAAAGCAAAGCCCAAAGATGGTGTCTGTACCACACATCTTCATTCATCCTCTACTGATCTGTGGACATAGAATAACACCTACCCTGCCTTTTACTGAACTTCTATCCAGCTGTACTACTCAAAATTTCAAAAGAAGATCAGTAGTTACACTTGCTAAGGGTTTCAATAACAGGCAAAAAATATTTATATATCAAAAAAGTTTCTGAGCCTACTGAAGAGATGGCTGTTTGCCAAACATAGTCCACAAAGAAGATTGCCAAAGATAGCACACACAATTCTCCTAGATAATAACATATGCTCATTGAAATCTTCCAGACTTGATCTTTTAGGACTCTTTTAGTATATTGTGCACACATTGGTGCTAGGTGCAAAGACAAGGAGGGAGGGCTTGTGCTGCATCCCTTCAAAGAGCAACACAAAGCTCACATCTTTTGGGAATAAGAGATACAGGCAGGTGTGGCTGCCTCCCCAACTGGATCCAGGACATCTGCAGCCCAGTGCCCTGCTGCAGCATCATAGCTATGGCTGCATTTGAACACAAAATCAGTAGCATAAACTGAGGAGAGGGGGTGACAAGGATAGGAGCCCCAGGTCCTGCTCTGTGACAGGGCACAGAAATAGCCACCACTGTGGTGACAGTTGAGCATGCAGCCAAGATCAGCCTAACAAGAGCAGGAAGTGCCCAATGCATTGCAGCTGCCACAGGCGCAGCACTATATGTCTGCACAAAATGACACTCAGGTGTCTAACTAGACAGTTTATTTCTTTACAAAATTCTGAAAACCAGTAACTATAATAGGCAAAGTTTGAGGTTCTTTGCCCTATTCTTCTGCTTCACTAAAACAAGACCCAGAGCCAAACACACTTGCTGCTGGTAAGCCATTTTTAGCTTTTCTTTTATGCCTACCATGAGCTGCACCAGATAGAAGTGGGAATGGGCCTCTTCATAAACCCTCTTCCCCAAGGTATATGAAAAGGTGGAATCTCATATATTCTGAGCTATTTTCTCTGTTACTTTGATGTGGATTCAGTTGGGTAACAGAGGATAATGTAATCCTACATTATGAAAAAACCTAGCGGAATAGAAAGAGACTCTGATAACTTTTCTGTTGTCATGAGTCTGGCAGCCAAGATGCTGTATCTCAGTGCTTTATAGAGTCTAGAAAAATGACTGAAAGTAAGCTCTTTGAACAGTTAGCTCATGAGATATGCCCAGAGAGAGGCTCTGCACTGGAGTACCAGACCCAGGCATCTGGGACACTGAAATCAAAACTCAGCCCAGCCTCTCTATCTGATCATTTCAGCAATAACAAATCTGAGGGAGACTTTTTATTGCTTGTGACAGTGACACTTTTTTTTTTCTATCACCCAAGTCCTTGGGTCTCGCATTTCAGTGCCAGAGGTGGTGTTAAGGCCTAACTTTTACTGCAACTGTAAAATATTTTAGTGTCTTCATGCTACTTGCCATTTCAGGCAACGCTTATTCAGTTCTGTATCACACCCAGACAACTGCCAAGTTGCATTCAGTTACACAATGCAAACCCATAATGGTAATGGGATGTCACTGTGGTGAACACTTCTGTTGACAGGAAGGAACAGAATTCATTCCACTCTCTTTAACTGCCTTGACTCCATAAAACTTAACATTAGTAAAAAGCAGTCAAAATATTTTTGTCCCTGGGGTCAGCAGATAGGACTCTGAACTGAACAGATCTTTTCAATAAAGATAATGTGTCACTTCTATATAATTAATTTTCAAAACAGGACCATGCACACACATGATAACTTAATGTTCAAAGGACCAGAGATTCTGGCCTTTTTTGCCACTGGCCAATATAAAAAAACAACTTCAGGCTATTTCTAACCACATAAGTTAGATCGCCTTTGAAAATGTGCTAGTTTGCAACTCCCCCAAAGAACCAGACCACCCTCAAAGATGTAGAGGGCACGGAAAGACCCTTCTTTGACTTGGGTTCTGTGCTAAGGACAGCTCTGCTGGACAGGAGTACCAGGCCCTCGATCTTTATTCATTGGCACCTGACAATGGGAAAGCTGAGTTCACTACAATATATCACAAAGGAGGCAACCCAAGAACTGTCAGGATTCCCAGATTTACTGTATATGTTGCAATGTACAAGTTTATGGTTGTTAGTAAGACAAAAATCCAAATGCTCTTTCTGCAGTAATTGTGTGTATAAGCTGCCAAGCTTTGAGAAGTGGTGAGAAACAGCTCCATTTAAGATGATAACCCTGCCTTATAGACACATGTGTTTGTTTGTATGCACGCACGCGCACACACAGATAATGTTGTATTAAAATGAGTCAGTTTGTGGTTTGTGCATCTATTCGTCAAGATATTTTTTCCCCTTTAGATGGAGTTCTCTCACAAAGAGCAAGATTTAGACAGTTGGGTTGAAAATGATCCCTTTCAAATGAATGAAGAATTCATGTCTGAACATGAAGAGAATCTGATTCACCCACACAGTAGCAGACAAACTCTTTATCACAAGCGCCATTTGACTTTCCAGATGAAACGTTTGTTTGCATTTCCTGTTTTATCACTGTAGAAAGTAACTGTTAGATAAATATTTGATAGACAGATAGTCCCAAAAGCTTGTATAACTTGCATAGGCACTTATTTCTCTACTGTAAAATGGATTGGCCTTAAAGCAATTTAGTTCTTATTTTCTATGTGAGTTCTAATCAGACAACTAATCCTAGGTAGGGAATTATCAAGCTGTATTAGAAGATCAGGGAGATACCTACCTTACGGCCTGCCTCATTGTTGTGTAAGTTCATGAGAGTCCTTGCGTTCTGTTTAATCTCCCTTGCATCCACAAATACTTTGGCGAAACCTATTCCATACCGAATATCAGCAGAGCAGCCTCCCCATTTCCATCCTTCCTCCTTATGGTATTGTCCCTGTTTTTCTTTGTCACAACCACAGTCGCTCAAGTTTCCTTGTGTACAGGCAGCAGTGATCGCATGTGCAACTCCAGCAGCAATGATGGCATATGTGAATGCTGCTTCTCTGCTACCTGAAAGTAAAACGGATTGTGAAGACATAGTGCAAGATTTGTGATACAATGATTTAGAAAAATACATGCAAGTGTGTACACTGCAAACATCAGAAGGTTATTATTAAAAGTACTGCAAATATACAGACATTTCTCTATACATGTAAGTACTGATCTGTGCTGATGTTCATCCCTTCTCTAAACCAATAAATCTCTAAGCTACAGTATTTATAAAATGAGATAAGCCCATATATGTATACATGCATCCAGATAGCTGCATGAATACATTTCAAGTTCTTATTGGAGCTGGTTGGATATTTTTGCTAGTTTATGCTTTTTGTAGGAAAGTGCCAATTTGTCAAACTAAAATATTAATGGAAAGGTTTGGTTTTGGCAAATCTTCCCATTAAAAAAAGTAAAATTTTGTTGAAACATTCCATGTTGACCTTTTTTAAGTGAAAAAATGTTGGTTTTCAGATTGAAATAACTTTAATTTAGAAATCAATTTTTTTTCTAAAGAGGTAATATTTTTTAAAAAGACAAAATTAATGCATCTCAAAATTATTTAAACAAAAAATTTCAAATGGGCCAAAAAAAATTTCTGCTTGTTAGTCCATTAAAATTTTTGCAATAAACCTTGTCTTGATTCAGAATCAGAAAAGGGGCAGGAAAACTGTTTTCTGTCCAGCTCTAGTTATCACTTCAAAAATAAGATCATGCAACTTTTTCATTAGTGACTCAGACCTTTGAGGATGAAAGGCTGGGGGTCAGACAACTAAGTCAACTGTCAGGAATATTTCCTCCTGATTTTTTTTTCTATTTAAAATGTGTGGTCTACTTATCTTTAAAAAAATGTGGTTTCTAATGAAATAATGATGTCCAAGGAGTGAATTGCAGATGATTTTTTATGTTCTCTGGGTTATTTACATTCAAAATACTCTCAAGGGGAAAGGACCTGTTTAAGATGCAAAGAATTTGTAGGAGTCATCTGTCAGTATATACAAACAGGTGGCTAATTTAAGTAAAACTTTTATTTGATACATTCTTGAGAAAAAGACATAAAACTGAATATTTGGATGCACACATAATGACGGGTGATAGGTTATTATTCATGGGTAAGAGTGCTTCTGCTGTTTCAGGCTTCATGAGAAACCAATTCAGAAAGGAATTCCTTACAGGTTCTTCATTCCTAGCTGCCTTTCTCTTCACATATACAAGCTTGTCTGTAGATAGTTCTTTTCATGAAAAAGTTTTTCCCTATTCCATTACCTGATGGGCATAGATGTATAACAGAGAGCAAATAACATCAACAATATTCGATAATAGGAAATGTCATGGACACTTAACAGCATCAGTGGTGTTCCCAGTGCCACATTTGCAAACAAACCACTAGTCAGTTGCCTAAAACAATTTTCATTGTCCTCAGTTAAATAATAAAACAATATATAAGGGAATGTGATTCAACAGAATATCCCCATGGGCTTTGTTGACCTATTAAAATAATAGAATCATAGAAAATTAAGGTAGAAAGGGACCTCAAGAGGTCATCTAGTCCAACCCCAAGGCTCAAGGCCCAAAGCAAGACCATTACCAAGTATATCATCCCAGCCAAGGATTTGTCTACCCACATCTTAAAAACCTCTAAGGATGGAGATTGCACAACCTCTCTGGGTATGCTGTTCCAGTGCTTTACTACTTTCCTAGTGAGAAAGCTTTTCATGATATTTAACCTAATCTCCCCCTCCTGCAACTTGAGCCCATTATCTGCCGCCACTGAGAACAGTCTAGCTCCATCCTCTTCGGAACCCCACTTCAGGTAGTTGAAGACTTATTAAATCCCCACTCAGTCTTCTCTTCTCTGGACTAAATGAGGCCAGTTTCCTCAGCCTCTCCTCATAAGTCATATTACTCATAGGGGTGCGCGAAGTGGGCCCTATTAAATTTGGATTCGGATTTGGCCTGAATTGGGGACAATGATTCGATTCGCTGATTCGATATGGCCAAATCTAAAGATTTGATGATGATTCGGAGAATCAGCGATTCGGACATAGATACAGCTTTAAATGTTTTTTCTACGTACCTCGAGGTACCAGCGCAGCTTGTGAACATTGTCATGTACAGGAGTGTGGGGGGGGGGGCCTCCATGTACTCGGCAACAAACCCAGAAGTAGACCAGAAGTACTTCCTGTCCACTTCTGGGTCCGCTGGGGAACATGCTGGGGGGCCCTCCAGAGCCCCACCCCCTCCCCCGGGCTCAGCGATCAGCTGCAGACCCCGGGTGCCCGCCCAGACCCAGGAGGCACCAGTCACCGAGCCGGGGCAGTACGGGGGGACTCCCCCGTGTGCTTCCTGGTGGACCTGGAAGTGGGCCAGAAGTGCTTCTGGTCCACTTCCGGATCTGCTGCTGAGGGCCCTGGGGAGCCCCCCATGCTCCTGTGGGATACTCCATGCGCCCCAGCATCAGAGCACTCTTGAGCCCCTGCTACCTAGAGGTATGTAGAAAAAACATTTAAAGCTGTGTCTGAATCTCTGAATCTTTCCAAATCTCTCCAAATCGATTTGGAGGGTTCCGATTCAATTTGGAGAGATTAAAGGGTCCTCTGATTTGATTCGGATTCAGAGATTCAGCCACCAAATTGGGTCTAATCTCTGCTGAATTGAATCAGGGACTGAAACTTCGCACAGGCCTAATTACTCAGCCCTCTAACCATTTTTGTTGCCCTCCACTGGACTCTTTCCATTTTGTCCACATTACTGTTTGGGCTAGCAGTTTGTTATGAAAACTTGAAGTGAGGGACAAGTCTCCAGTATATAGTCTCCATTTCAGTCCTGGCTTTCAGTATCAAAACATTTAATGAGTTGGGCTGCTTCAGGAACTAAAGAACTCCCAAAGAAATAAAGAAGAGAGAAACAAAATCAAATGTATCGAAATATGTTGTTGACTTTAGATAACTTTTGTCAGGTATACACTGAAACATAATGTTAAACACAGTATAAATACCAAGGGCCAATGGGCAGGTGGCTAAATGCTATGACTGGGAAATTGAGACAGAAACACCAGTTTCACTAGAACCAACGTAGCTCTTCCTCCTGTTTGAGACAATCACAGTAAACTGAGTCACTGAGAAATTTCAAGTATGGCTACTAAGGAAGCTGAGCCTCTTGAAAAAGGGAAGCAGAGCAGTAACAGAGGCATTACCTTTCCTTTTGAGTTCACTGAGGCCTAGAGGATTTCCTGAAGTTCATAATACATCTCTATAGTAAAATGAGCTCTTAAAGCCTGCCTGCAAGGGATGATGTGTTGGCAACTCTAAGTGGTGAATCTTGAAGAATGTATTGAACAACATTTATTTATTCTGTGAAAGAGAATGTGAGGAAATCTTTAGGCCTAAATTTGTGTGTTTTTGTTTTTCTTTAGTTGCAAAACTTCTAATTCAAGACAGGAACTGTTTTCCCTCGCATAATAAAAAATACCAAGGGCCTAATGGTAATCTAAAAAAGACCACTAAAAATCAGAAAATAACTTCATTCAAAATGAGGGAATAACTAGTGTAAGTACGGTCAAAATCAAATCCTAACTGGTTTTAAAAATGCTAAGAAATACAACTTTTTTGAAAAAAGATATAGACATCTCTTACATATTAAAGGATAGTTATTCATATTGCAAAGAAGACAGGTATCCAGAGGCACAGGCCATGGAACAGGGTGGGTCACCTGGGCCATGGCCCAACCAACTTTTAGCACATTAATTTAGCTATCTATGCAGTTAAATTTTTTTTACCTGGAATGACAATTGCGCATTTGTGGGTTATATAGTTTCATAGTTTCATAGTTTCAGGGTCGGAAGGGACCTAATAGATCTTCTAGCCCGACCCCCCGCCAGGGCGGGAGAACAACAAAAAACCCTAAAAACAAAAACGGGACTCAAATGAGTCCAGCCAGGTAGGTATCCAGCCTCTTCTTAAAGATCCCCAGGGTAGGGGCCAGCACCACCTCCCTTGGAAGTTGGTTCCAGCTCCTAGCCGCCCTAACTGTGAAGTAGTTTTTTCGGATGTCCAATCTGTACCTCCTCTCCATCAACTTGTGCCCATTACTCCTTGTTATGCCAGCGGGGGCTAGGGGAAACAGCGTCTCCCCCAAACCCTTCTGGTTCCCCCTAGTGAGTTTATAGACGGTCACCAGGTCCCCCCTCAGCCTTCTCTTGTGGAGGCTGAATAGGTTCAGGTCCCGCAGTCTCTCACTGTAGGGTCTGCCCTGTTGTCCCCGGATCATGCGGGTGGCCCTCCTCTGGACCCTCTCCATGTTGTCCACATCCCTCCTGAAATGGGGCGCACAGAACTGGACACAATACTCCAGCTGCGGCCTGACCAGCGTCGCATAGAGGGGGAGGATCACCTCCCTGGCTCTACTCGAGATGCACCTGTGGATGCACGACAAGGTCCGGTTAGCCCTGCCAACCATGACCTCGCATTGTCGGCCCATGTTCATCTTGGAGTCAATAATGACACCAAGATCCCTTTCCGCCTCCGTGCTCTCAAGTAGGGAGTTCCCCATCGTATAAGTGTGCTGCTGGTTCCTACTACCCAAGTGCAGCACCCTGCACTTGTCCGTATTGAAACACATCCTGTTCCTGTTTGCCCACCCCTGTAACCTATCCAGATCCTTCTGCAATCTCTCTCTCCCTGCTAGCGTGCTCACCTCCCCCCAAATTTTGGTGTCATCAGCGAATTTAAACAGGTTGCTTTCCACCCCAACATCAAGATCGCTGATGAAGAAATTGAACAGCGCAGGGCCCAGGACCGAGCCCTGGGGGACTCCACTACCCACCTCCCCGCAAGTCGAGTATGATCCATCTACCACCACCCTCTGAGTGCGACCCTTCAGCCAATCTGCAATCCATCTGATATAAATTAACTAAAAGTTAAAAGTTGGTCGGGCCATGGCCGAGGTGGCCCACCCCTTTCTGCGGCCAGAGGAATTCACTGCTAGAAGGTGTCAAAGATCTAATGTAGTAGTTATAA